GCCGCACCGAGGACGCCCAGGCGGTAGTTGATGGTGACGACGATGACGTTGCCGTAGGCGGCCAGGACGCTGCCGTCGAACATGTTCCCGGTGCCCTCCATGTAGGAGCCTCCGTGCAGGAAGAGCATCACCGGCTTCTTGCCGCTGTCCCGGATGTCTGCGGGACACGGTGACACCGTCACCGCCACTGGGGTCACCCGTTGGGTCACCCTGGGGACACCTCATGGGCCACCATTGCCTTGGGGCACCATCGTCATGGGGACACTGGGAATGTCCCTATTGACCTGGGGACACCCCATGGGCCACATTGGGACACCATCACCCTGGGGACACCGGGAATGTCCCTATTGACCTGGGGACACCCCATGAGCCACCATCCCCATGGGCCACCTTGGGACACCATAAGGGCCACCACCCCCATGGGCCACCATCGTCATGGGCCGCCTTGGGACACCATCATCCTGGGGACACCGGGAATGTCCCTATCGACCTGGGGACACCCCATGAGCCACCATCGCCATGGGCCACCTTGGGACACCGTCACCCTGGGGACACTGGGAATGTCCCTGTCACCCTGGGGACACCCCATGGGCCACCACTGCCTTGGGACACCATCACCCTGGGGACACCGGGAATGTCCCTATCGACCTGGGGACACCCCATGAGCCACCATCCCCATGGGCCACCTTGGGACACCATCATCCTGGGGACACTGGGAATGTCCCTGTCACCCTGGGGACACCCCATGGGCCACCACTGCCTTGGGACACCATCACCCTGGGGACACCGGGAATGTCCCTATTGACCTGGGGACACCCCATGAGCCACCATCCCCATGGGCCACCTTGGGACACCATCATCCTGGGGACACTGGGAATGTCCCTGTCACCCTGGGGACACCCCATGGGCCACCACTGCCTTGGGACACCATCACCCTGGGGACACCGGGAATGTCCCTATTGACCTGGGGACACCCCATGAGCCACCATCCCCATGGGCCACCTTGGGACACCATCATCCTGGGGACACTGGGAATGTCCCTGTCACCCTGGGGACACCCCATGGGCCACCACTGCCTTGGGACACCATCACCCTGGGGACACCGGGAATGTCCCTATTGACCTGGGGACACCCCATGAGCCACCATCCCCATGGGCCACCTTGGGACACCATCATCCTGGGGACACTGGGAATGTCCCTGTCACCCTGGGGACACCCCATGGGCCACCACTGCCTTGGGACACCATCACCCTGGGGACACCGGGAATGTCCCTATTGACCTGGGGACACCCCATGAGCCACCATCCCCATGGGCCACCTTGGGACACCATCATCCTGGGGACACTGGGAATGTCCCTGTCACCCTGGGGACACCCCATGGGCCACCACTGCCTTGGGACACCATCACCCTGGGGACACCGGGAATGTCCCTATTGACCTGGGGACACCCCATGAGCCACCATCCCCATGGGCCACCTTGGGACACCATCATCCTGGGGACACTGGGAATGTCCCTGTCACCCTGGGGACACCCCATGGGCCACCACTGCCTTGGGACACCATCACCCTGGGGACACCGGGAATGTCCCTATTGACCTGGGGACACCCCATGAGCCACCATCCCCATGGGCCACCTTGGGACACCATCATCCTGGGGACACTGGGAATGTCCCTGTCACCCTGGGGACACCCCATGGGCCACCACTGCCTTGGGACACCATCACCCTGGGGACACCGGGAATGTCCCTATTGACCTGGGGACACCCCATGAGCCACCATCCCCATGGGCCACCTTGGGACACCATCATCCTGGGGACACTGGGAATGTCCCTGTCACCCTGGGGACACCCCATGGGCCACCACTGCCTTGGGACACCATCACCCTGGGGACACCGGGAATGTCCCTATTGACCTGGGGACACCCCATGAGCCACCATCCCCATGGGCCACCTTGGGACACCATCATCCTGGGGACACTGGGAATGTCCCTGTCACCCTGGGGACACCCCATGGGCCACCACTGCCTTGGGACACCATCACCCTGGGGACACCGGGGAAAAACCCCGTTTTCCCCCCAAAAAAACACCCAAAAAGGCCCTGGAGGGCCCAAAAGGGGCTGGAAAATAATAAAAGGGGGCCGAAATAGCCCAAAATGGGGGTAAAATTTCCCAAACGGGGGCAAAACTCCCCAAATGGGGCCGAAATCCCCCAAAATTGGGGTAAAATCCCCCAAGTGGGGTGAAAATCCCCCAAATGGGGGGTGAAATCTCCCGAATGGAGGCAGAAAACCCCAAATGGGGGCAAATTTCACCAAATGGGGCTGAAATGCCCCAAAACGGGGGGCAAACACCCCAAAAGGGGGCCGGGGCCCCCAAAATGCAGCCAAAAGCCCCGATATGGGGGTGAAAACCTTCAAAATGGGGCTGAAAGACCCCCAAATGGGACAGAAATACCAAAAATGGGGTCAAATCCCCCCAAAATGCAGCCAAAAGATCCCCAAAATGGGGCAAAAACACAAAAGAAGGGGGGCTAAACCCCCTGAAATGGGGTCAAAACACCCCAATTTGGAGCCAAAACTCCACCAATATGGACAAAACACCTGAAACGGGGCTTAAAAATAACTAATTGAGGCCGGGACCCCCAAAATGGGGTGAAACCACCCAGAATGGGGCCCCAAATCCCCTAAAAGGGCCCCAAATCCCCTAAAAGGGACCAAAACCCCCCAAAAGGGGCTGGGACCCCCCAGTTGGGTCAAAAAGAAGCCAAAAAAGGCCCAAAACTCCCCAAATGCAGCCAGATGGGGCCAAAACCCCCCAAATAGGGTCAAACCCCCCCAAATAGGGTTAAAACCCCCCAAATGGGGTCAAACTCATCCAAAAGCGTCAAAACCCTTCAAATGGGGTGAAACTTCCCCAAAAAGGGGCTGGAAAACCCCAAGAAACCCCTAAATGGGGCCAAATCCCTCCAAAAGGGGCTGAATTCCCCCCCAAATTGGGCCAAAAACCCCTAAAAAGGCTGAAAATCCCC